AGCGTATTATACTCATACTGGCTGCACAGGGTTATAATTTAGTGTATATCATTATTTACACAGCTTTACAAATTATGTGAGGTAGGGGGTCAAAGCTTACGCAGAAGGGTCCCAGGTTTGAGGTAGTAGAATTCACGATTAGGATTAGTAAAATACAAGTTTAATGTTTAATGTTTAGTGGTAGTGCAGTCTCTCTCTCACTCACTCTCTCTCTCTCTCAATATGTATACACTCTAAGAAGGTAGCGGCCTCCTAGTGAGAGGTACTAGCATCCAGCAGTAGTGACATGCTTCCCAACTCTTCTCGGGATGCTGGTGGGACTTTGCTAAATAGGGCTCTGCCAGTGATAGGATCGCTTCACTGGCTCTGCCTGTTTAGTGCTCCCTACAGGGTCCTAGTACCCACTAGGACCCTGAATGGCTTGTTGGATACAGTTCCCTGGTGTTCCCAAAGCAGGACACCAGGGAAATAAGTGTTTCCTTCAGACAGGACCTTAAAATCACGACTGTCCCATTGAATTTGAACAATTGGGAGGCCTGGTAGTGAAGTGATTTGCATAGTTACCATAGTGGTCTAGTGGTCACAGTGCAAATTGCATGCATTTTCTTAGTACATACTCACCTTTTGTATGAAACCAGGTAAATAGAGAGAGTCCAGTGTCTTAAGGTAGCAGTAACGTTTGTAGATATGGGAGGGATGCACACACATCAAACTGCAGCCACCAGCCCACAAGGGTCCCAGATTCCCTTTCTCAAGAAACAATAGACAACCAAACGGGCCTGATATGGTGGAGAGAAAATTAAGAATGCTACCATTTTTATTTTTTGTGCCCAGGTCCTGGAATTGGAAGACTAATACAGATTTTGTTCTTGAAGAACATATGAGAAAGCCCTGCGTTACCTCTTTTTCCTGTTTGCCTAAAATTTGTGTGAATTAATTTGCTTTTATGTTTTGGGTTAATTTTACCCAATGCACAGTGCTGCAGCATACGTTGGTATTTTATAAGTAACACAAATAAGAAAAAATTATATTGCAGTTAATTCTTTACTATATAGCACTGGGGACAACTGTGCTTGTTTTCTGCAATTTTATATTGTGAGAGGATTTCTATAAATACCAGTTCTGAGCAGTCAGGCAGAATATCTGGAAGGCAAGAGGCTTGCTAAATGCACCCTACAGTGAAACCATTTTCCTGCTATTGCAAACATTGCTTACATAAGTGTTTTAAGCCTTTTTTCTCCACCCCCACCCCCCTGTCCGATTTGATGGCCGAGTGAGCTTTTGAATCTTGCTGATCGATATCTATTACAGAAATTCATGCAGTACCAGAGCTCAGTGTGATGGAGGATTGTGTTGGTCAGCTGTAAATGGTTTGATGCCGTTCTCAGAAAAGGTTATTGCAACAGCTCATGAGATAAAATATGTTGTGGAAAAATATTTGGATGCTAATATATTCATCACTCTTTTGAATTAGTTAAACTCGGTGTCAGGATACATCTGTATGTGTATGCAAGTATCTGTAGACTCCATAGGATACCTAAATACCTGTAAGATTCTTAATATTAGGTATTTATGAGATCAATCTAACATCTGAGAAGAAGAGACAGAAATATGAACTCCTTATACACACACTCCTTCATAAGTAATGTACCTTGAGGTTAAATTCTGTAATGAGACTTGTAGCAAAGTATACATATTATACATACTGTGTTGAGAAATGCTCATCAATTGTACCTTATTCCCCCTCTTCCTGTGGCCGAATTAACCAATACGGTATCTGTCAGTGACATTCAGTGTATAAGATGAGCCATACGTGCAATGAAAGAATGTAAAAACCTGTAATCTAATCAAACAAGCAAATTGCACACTGCAGTCCAAAATAGTCAGTATAGTAAGATGTTTTGTTTTTCAGTTTGCCTAAATTTTGCAACATGCTATCTTCTCAGTAAAACTTGTTCAGGTTTGAACAACAACTAGATGCATATTTGCAAAAACATAATATTCAAGGATATAATTTTTAAATTGTGGGATAATATCTTCTTGATCCAAGGGTAAATCTGACTGCCATTCTGGGGTCAAGAAGGATTGCATTGTGTGGAAATCTATTCACAAACCGGACTTTACATAGGACACAGGGTCATGCATTTAGACTGGAAGAAAGAAGATTTCGTCTAAGGCAAAGAAAAGTTGTTTTTTTACCGTAAGAACAATAAGGATGTGGAATTCTCTGCCTGAAGAAGTGGTTTTATCAGAGTCCGTACAGATGTTCAAACAGCAACTAGATGCATACTTGCAAAAGCATTATATTCAAGAATATAATTTTTTCAATGTAGGGTAATAGCTTCATGATCCAAGGATTCAAGGATTAATCTGACTGCCATTCTGGGGTCAAGAAGGATTTTTTTCCTAGTTTGCTGCAAAATTGGAAGTGCTTCAAACTGGGTTTTTTTTGCAGAAAACAGCAAAAAAATAATTTTTATTTTTTTTTCAGCAAAAACAAATGTGTAAAAGGCCGAACTTGATGGGCACATGTCTCTTTTCAGCCTATGTAACTATATTTATTTACTAAACACGAAACAGTAAGTGCATTGAAAGCCATATAGCAACATTTGGGCAAAAAGTGAAAGTTTGGAAAAGTTTGCCAGCTTGGCTATTTTACCAAACTTTTGCAACTCGGTTTTCTATTCATTACAATTCATTTCTTAGTGAATAAATACTGTAGATATGTATGTAGCAAATTTTATTGCTATGGAAAGATTTTTTTCCCCTGCTATTTCTGTTAACAAATTTCAATTTATAACAATTAATAAAACTATACAATGAGGTTTTCCCTTCAGAGGCAGCACATCAGGTTCATATATACTTTTGTTATCCTAATGCTTATGGCATTAACATTACATGTATACTCTGTATTTTTCAAGTTCAGTGGAATAGTTTCAGTTTATTACAGCACCGAATGGTTCAGAAAGGACTGTGGCGGCCTGTAGCATTTCCCTATTATACATGTCAGCTGGAATGTATTTCCCTAATCCAACGAGCGCACTGTCATTGCAAGATAGTAATTAACAATGAAATTGATGCCGCAGAGAAGTGAACCGCAGAAAGATAAAACAAGGCATCTCAACAAGGAAATGCACTTACGAAGGGTCATCAGGATCTCATATGAGTGGGTTTATGTCACTGTAATGAGAAAATGTGCAGCTGTTTATTGCAGAAAGCCACTTCACTGAGCTCAACAAATCCCCAAGTTCATTCATAATGCTTGAAAATGGCAAATTAGAAGCAAAGAGATGAAAATGTATGTGTTTCTAGATCCAAGTGGGCAGCCTCCCTCATACATAACATTTCATATTTTACGACGTGCAGCAATCCAAGAATTAAGAATATATAGTTACATAGCTGAAAAGAGACTTGCGTCCATCAAGTTCAGCCTTCCTCACATTTGTTTTTTGCTGTTGATCCAAAAGAAGGCAAAAAAAATAGTTTGAAGCACTTCCGATTTTGAAAAAAATCCTTCTTGACCCCAGAATGGCAGTCAGGTTTATCCTTGGATCAAGCAGTTATTACCCTACATTGAAAGATTATATCCTTGAATATTCTGTTTTTGCTAGTATGCATCTAGTAGCTATTTGAACATCTGTATGGACTCTGATAAAACCACTTCTTCAGGCAGAGAATTCCACATCCTTATTGTTCTTACAGTAAAAAAAAACCTTTCCTTTGCCTTAGATGAAATCTTCTTTCTTCCAGTCTAAACGCATGACCTCATGTCCTATGTAAAGTCCGGTTTGTGAATAGATTTCCACACAATGGTTTGTATTGGCCCCGAATATATTTGTATAATGTTATCATATCCCCTCTCAGGTGACGTTTTTCTAAACTAAATAGGTTTAAATTTGTTAACCTTTCTTCATAGCTTAAATGTTCCATTCCTTTTATTAATTTTGTAGCCCACCTCTGCACTTTTTCTAGTGCCATAACATCCTTCTTTAGAACAGGTGCCCAAAATTGCACAGCATATTCAATATGTGGTCTTACCAGTGATTTATAAAGAGGCAAAATGATATTCTCATCCCGAGAATGAATGCCCTTTTTCATGCATGACAGTACCTAACTGGCCTTAGCCACTGCTGATTGATATTGCACATTGTTGCATAGTTTGTTGTCTATAACAATTCCCAATTCCTTTTCGTGTGTTGTTATCCCTAATTCGCTTCCATTAAAGGTATACGTTGCTTGTGTATTCTTTACACCGAAGTGCATAACTTTACATTTTTCAACATAAAATTTCATCTGCCATTTGAGTGCCCAGTCCCCCAGTCTATCTAAATCCATCTGCAGCAAAGTAATATCTTGTTCACATTGTATTGTTTTACAGAGTTTTGTGTCATCTGCAAACACTGAAACATGACTTTCAATGCTTTTTTCAAGATCATTTATAAACATGTTAAATAGAAGGGGTCCTAGAACAGAACCCTGAGGGACACCACTTGCTACCTCTGTCCAGCTTGAAAATTTACCATTAATGACAACTCTTTGTACTCTTTTTTTAAGCCAATGTTCTACCCAAGAACAAGCATTTTCATCTAGACTGATTTCCTTGAGTTTGAACACTAATCTATTGTGTGGACACTAATCTATTGAGTGGACAGTCGCAATGTGTGCCTCACGTGCACTTTTTATCACAATGCTTCTTAATGAGAAGCATTAGAATGGAAAAAGAAGCAATGAAGCAATGCCTGCAGAATGGCTTCAAGGGAGGAGGAGCAGCCGGTAAAAAAACTATTTTATTTTTTTTAAGCGGGACAGGAGGTGGAAGGGATCACTTCCTATCTGCCCACTAACAGCCAATACATGGAAAATGTATTGCAGGAGTAGTAGGGGGAACACATAGTGTTTCACACTGTATAACCACTCCTGCAGCTTTAATATCAATCTAAGGAGACTGACTGGTCTTCAAACTCCACGTCGGAAAAAAATATTTTCCTAACCCTAAATCTTACTCTTCCCTAAATCTAAGCAAACTCTTTCCTTAGTCCAAATTGAAGTGGTGAAAGTCTAAACCTGAAAACCTTTACTTTAATTCTATATTCAATTCCCCTTAAAATTAAGCACCTCATGTACCCCAATTCTAAATTGAACTCAGTATGTGCTGTGCACTTCCCTCCTGCCTGTCACCTGGTTACTGTGCACCTTGGCCGCATCGGCCCTGAAGTTATGCCCACCAGTCTAACCCTGTGCAGAAACAAGGGTCACAGGGCAGCCAGGCACCCTGGAGTGACGGGCCCAGTCGCATTTGCAAACCCTGTAACCTTGATAGTTACGCCACTGTAACATATGCAGTTGTCAAATTGAATATATGTTTTTTGGCCTGCAAGGATCAGTTAGTAAATTAATTATACTTGCTTCCTCTGCCTTCTTTGGGTTGGGGAGTAGGGTGCTGTGACAAAAAGAGACTTTAATGTGTCACATGGCACAGGATGCAGAGTCTCCCCCCATGCTGAGATATCTGCCTGGCAGTTGCTGTTTGAAAATAAAGGTTGCTGCTGTTTGTACCAAGAAATAAGCTGGTTGTCTTTCCTTGCTGTAACTATCCAAGATCTGCTTTAATGTGAATGCTAGTGGATAAAGGGACTCCAAGCCCAGGTCATAGCACTCAGTATAATGATCAGCTGTGCAAGTTAGTGGAAGTACCCATGGACGATGTTAGTCGGTATCGTCACAGGTGTGCCTTAGAATTTTGTGTTTACTGGCGCCTGACATGTAAATCTGGATTTGCGCACTCTTGATAGTGAAAGCACTCTCTCAGGAGAGAGCAGAGCCACAGACTGCACATGCACAGCTTTCTGTATAGTTAAATACAGCCTGATTCATTAAACAGTGAAGAAAGCTGTGCATATACTGATAGCAACTGCAGTATGGATGCAGTCACTTTATTGAGCAGTTCCAATCATCCTAAATTGTATGCTTATATTTCCCCAATATTTGCAGTCATCTTTATGTCACATTATATCTCCAGAATCACTTGGTGACACACACACAAGCACACTCACACACATTATTTTTTTTTTTTAATCGTTGAATGATTAGTTAGAATATGTTTAATTTTAAATGATCATTCCACTACTTTTTTATTGACAGTAACATTTTGATGAATACAGTATATTGCTGAAGAATTCTCATGAAGAAACTTTGAAGAAAATGAGTTTCTACATGAGAATCTAATAAAAAAAACATATATATTTTCATAGTGTGGCATACAGTTAATGATATTACCCCATGATTAACAGAAAATATAATGATGCATATTGGTTCTAAATGCCTTTTTTTGATGTTTGCGTAGTTGGGTCTGCTTGAAGTGCCCTTCCACGGATACATCTGTTATCTGCAAGTTTGGTGATGGGGTGATTGAGAGCTTCACTGTAAACACATAATCCATAAACATTACTGTGCCTCTAGTCAGTCCATCAATAACATATCAAACGTGTACACGAGCTGGAGATGTAAATATTGATCGGAGGCCTTTATGGCTGTCTACCCCGTCCAAGCCAAAGAGGCACATTAAGAATGCTTTGTCCACAATGATCATTCACTTTTACCCGTATTCTTTTGATCTGGTGGTATCTATCCACAGGGTGCTCTTTATAAACATGCATCATTGATCCTAAGACCTTTAGACACCACTAAAATTTAGCTTTAACTCTTTGACATCCACAGAAATCAAAGTTTTGCTAAATGAAATCTCTTAAAGGACCACTATAGTGCCAGGAAAACAAACTTGTTTTCCTGGCACTTTAGTGCCCTGAGGGTGCCCCCACCCTCAGGGCCCCCCTCCCGCCGGGCTGAAGGGGGAGGAAGGGGGTTAATCCCTTACCTTTTTTCTGGGGACTCTCCTTCTCCTTTCCCGTCATCGGCTGAATGCGCATGCACGGCAAGAGCCGCGCTCGCATTCAGCCAGTCTCATAGGAAAGCATTCTCAATGCTTTCCTATGGACGCTGGTGTCTTCTCACTGTGAAAATCACAGTGAGAAACGTGGAAGCGCCTCTAGCGGCTGTCAATGAGACAGCCACTAGAGGCTGGATTAACCCATATGTAAACATAGCAGTTTCTTTGAAACTGCTATCTTTACAGCAGAAAGGGTTAATCCTACGTGGACCTGGCACCCAGACCACTTCAGTAAGCTAAAGTGGTCTGGGTGCCTATAGTGGTCCTTTAATAAATGAAGATAAATGTGTAGTGAAGTGAAAAACATGTTTTTGTTTAGATACCAATGTTGAGAGGTAACGGGGGAGTGGGGGAGGGGGGGAGGGAGGGAAGGGGTTAACCACTTTATAGAAAGGGGCAAGGCAAATTCCATAAAAGATATAACTCAGACACACACTCCCCAACACTGGGTGGGAGAGGTGGGAACCGGTGTGGGAGGTAAGGGGAGCAGGTGCAACTGCCTGACCAGATAGGGGGCAGATCTGTCTGAATCAAGTAGGCCAGTACACTGAGGGCAGATGATGCCCCTGCCAAAAGCACTGCTTCAGTGCTGTCTGCAGGGTCCTAGTGCCCTGAGTGCGAACGCTTCTCATGATGCATTTGTGCTACATTTTTAGGGACAGTCCTCTGCTGTACCCAAAAGTGTGACACCAGGGGAGAAAGTCAGGATGGCGGACAGGACTTGAAAAACGGGACTGTACTACCGAAATCTGGATGATTGGGAAGCATGTAGATGCACATAATGAATACTACTGCGTTAGACAGTGGATGCTGGTGATGTTTTAACATAGTAGGGTACTAGATTTTACCCCTAGAGTTTTAATTCCTGCCATAGCTGCATGGTGTCCCTCTATTATGGTTCCCTGACTCTATGGCTAGGAATACATACCAATAGACAAAGAAAGGAAAAAGGAAATATACCAGTAGCCAGAGGGAAAAAAAGGGAGAAGGCAACGTGACAGAGAGACTAAGTTCAAGGTATCAATTTGAAAAAAACTAAAAGACAATATAGGTAGGAAAAGATTTGACAGAGATGAAGAAAAAAAATTTAAAAAGAAAGATGCAAACATTTTTAAAATACTAAAAGCTAAGTGGGTATATTTTTCAAGGGTGAGACATATTTATAAATGGTCAGAGAGGCAGAAAAAGAAACGTGGAGAGATAATTGTACAGCGCTACAGAATCTGATGGCGCTATATAAATAATAAAATAATAATAAGAAGAAAATAAAGGCTAATAGATGAGTCTGGACAATGCATAAAAGTGAGTTGGGAAGAAAAAGAAAATAGAGATGATTGGACAGGTACAATTCTTTTTGCTCCAAATTTAATTTCAGTTCAGCAATTTGGATGTGTCTAAATTTCTGAATTTTGCACAATTTGAAACAGAATTAAAAGAATGAATTTGAACAAATCAAAATGAATTATTTTGGATAGATTAATTTTCACAAGGATTGCACATTAGGGGCTTGTCTAATAAGCAACTGAAACAGAGAAATTAAGAAAAGAACTTTATGCTCTTTCAGCTGTTTAGTAGGTAGCTCCTAATTTTGTATTCTATCTTTCCATGGGATTTCCATAATTAAGGATGCCAAGTTAGTGACTTATCTACTAAATAACTGAACGTTTTATGTTCACTGGCCGGAATCAAGCACCCATGCAAAAATCTAACTTTACGGAGACATCAAGTGTCTTACTCAAGTTTTGTGTGTGTGTGTACTGTGCATATTATATATATAGACTATATATAGATATTCTGTACATATATATAAATAGAAAAAAACTTAGTAGTCCTTGCACTCACACTCCAAAATTAATGTTACTAGGTGCATACTAAAAGCCCAGTGCCAAAAAATATAAAATATATAGAAACTGGCTTGCACTCACGTTTTTTTGAAGTTAAAACGATATCTTTATTGCAAATTCATAAAAACTACGATCAACGTTTCAGCCCCCTTCTGTGGCTTTCCTCAGGATCAAACAATACAATATACATATATTCAAGTTAATTTATATAACAGAACCATTGATTCATTAATTGGAAAAGTACTCACCATTCAGGTGTTCACTCTGCCCTGACGGCGTCTCTCCTCCGAGAGTATGCATGCACCAGCACCCCGCAAACCCGGACGTTGCGTGCCCACGTGTTCCCCTGTTGCCATGGTAACCTGACACATTCTCGCGCTCCGTGGCTACCGGGGTAAACAATATTAATGTACGGGACCTCCATTACAATTATACATAAGACAATGAGTCATATTAGTTAGTATCATAAATATACAAACATATATAAAGCTACCATATATGTCTATTTGCCACATAAATATACATTCTATTATTATCATGCTAATATATCATTAACACATATCCATCTCATAATATTAATACCATATATATATGTGTGTGTACAGAATATGGGCTGGACCTGCCTAAGTCCAGATGGGAGATACCACAAAGAGTAATTGTGAATGACAGGTCTAAGATCCTGTGGAACTTCCAGATCCAGGCAGACAAGCAAGTACTGGCCAACCAACCTGACATCATGAAGGTAGACAAGGAACGGAGGACTGCAGTTGTGGTGGATGTGGCAATACCCAGTGACTATAACACCAGGAAGAAGGAACAGGGGGATATGGACAAATATCAAGGACTGAAAGAAGAGCTGTGGAAATGTGGAATGGATGTGGAAAGTGATGGCAGTAGTAGTCCCAGTTGATAGGAGCACTCAGGGCTGTTACCTCAAAGTTTGGAGAGTGGCTTCAACAGATTCCAGGTGAAACATCTAAGATCGCTGTCTAGAAGAGTGCAGTTCTTGGAACAACTAAGATAGTGCACAGAACCCTCAGACTTCCAAGCCTCTGGTAGAGGACCCGAGATTGAGGTATAAAGATACCACCCAGGAGGGGTGAGAAAATCAATGTATTTTATATATAATCTATATGTGTAATGCTGGCACTCTACCTTTACTTAAACTTTCCTGGCTACTGTCCTCCGCTGGTATATAAATATTCAACAAAATAGGTGCACTCTCAGGACTTTCAGGCAGTTATTTTATGAGAAGCACTCACTTCTGCTTTGAATTACAGTCTTACAAGATTTGTCAAAATGCTAATTTTACGTTAAAAAAAAAAGTCACAGAGAACTTGTAAATAACCCATAACGCATTTCAGTAAGCTGAAATGTTTTAGGGGACTGGAATGTCCCTCTAATACATTTGTTTTTGTAAAATGCCCACCC